TTCAGCTTTTAATCACTTCGTAAAATGGGTATTAGCTTATTTCTATTGCCAGTATAGATTCATTTAAATGTGGCCGAATCCATAACACTTAATCTTGTCAAGATGTAGCTACTCCTAAAAGTATACCCTCTGTAATTAAACAAGAATAAACACCAACACCTGTATAGTTTTCATTTTTATCAAGAACTACTTGGTTGAGGAGGAAGATAACTGAGAAAAGAGAACAATGGCTAGATGCTTCTCTTTAGCATAAGCAAAAAGCTGTGCAACTGTTTCCCCCTTTTCAGGTAAAGACATTTTGAGTTTGGAATCAGTTGTCTGCAACTTAAAATGATTTCAATGTGTTTTAAACCACCCTGGCTGAATTGAGACAAGTGGCCACTCCATTTGTCAGAGCACAAGGGATGTGCTGTGAGAATGTGGAACAGAGTTCCCATGGCAATATAGCTAATTGTATGTAAGATATACAAGGCATATCTGAACAAGTTTTCTTTTTTTATTGTGATGAAAACTAGAAGTTCTTTTTCCCAACATACTTCATCAAACTATTTACAACCCCTGTAAAATTTGTGTTTGAAAATACTTTTTCCACTATCACATATGTTACGAATACAGCAAAATATCTTCACTCTATTTTTTTAAAGATGCAGTATCCTCAATTTCATTTTCTTATGAAAATCTGAATTTCTATTGCAATTGCACAGTATTTAGCACACTTAAAGTACCAATGGACATGGGTTGCTAAACAGACATTACTCTATAATGACCTTGTGAAAATATAGCATTTAAAATTTTTATGTACACTTCTTAACTATAAAATGCAGGCAAAGTCATATATAGCATTATAAGCGGATTCCCCATTAAGGTAAATAACTTACATTTGTAGACAGTATGGATTATTACAAATTCATTCTTTTAAAAAAGTTTTCTGTTGATATTTGTGAGCCCACTGGCTGCTGCATATACAGGTGTGTATACAGGTATGCATGTATCAGTGGTGCCTGTGCAGGTAAGTACATGGCAGTGTGGGGATAAGTAGAAATGTAATATGGAAGACATAACTTACCAAACCTCATTTTTAAACAAAACCAAATCAAAGCAAAAGATTTTTTAAATGAGATACACTACCTCAGAATAACTGAACAAAGAGATTTGGTCAGTGAAGTTGTAGAATACATTTACTCCTGAAATCTATAGGCATTAGTAAAGAGCAAAATCTGCGACTGGATTATGGACTATGAGCATTAAGGCTTCCTGGGCCTATTATGATGCGTAAAAGACATGTCCAGTCCCTTATATGAAGGTCATAACTCAATGTATCATCCATGCTGGTATTCTTATCACTGCTGAATTCTGTCAACCCTTACTATCAATGCTAAGACACCTTTATAACAACATTCTGGCCACATTTCTAAGCAGTCATAACAACATAACAAAGGCGTATTCATACATTTGAAGGCCTCACCTCACCAGATTTATTCAACTGTTGCTTTGGTAAGTATAATAAATAAAGTACAGAATAGGAATACTGCATCTTTATCCATATACATGTTGTCATTCTAATGAACTGCTTCCATAAATGTAGAATTATACTTAGGTTTGAAACACAAACGGCAATTCGAAGTTTAAAAAGGTTGTATAAAAATGAACACAGCTTTGTATGAGCTATTCAAAATTTCAACCATCATGAGAATGGCCTTTCTAATCTAGAACTGGCATTGTAAACACTGGAGCTTTTTGTAAGATCCCCTCCTCCCCCAACAATCCTCTTCCTATTTTCCACTTAAACTGTAAAGTGAAAAAAAAAGTGCTCTTTCCCCCCCATTGTGGTTTATGTTACTGTTACTCAACTGCTTTTTGGAAATAAATGTCCAATAGTGCTTTGTAAAAGTAATGCCAGGCAGTAGTATGATCTTTACGGTCAAGTCATTAGGAATTTCAGTCTAAATGCCGTAAGAGAATGTAAGTTCTCCAGCAGGCTTCTCCGAGTCCGCACACAGTTGACAGGATGGGGCCGGAGGAGGATGGGGAAGTGTGAATCTCTTTCTGACAACTTAAGATCAGAACATGAAGAGGAAATCTATTTAAACCTCAAAGCCTGAACCTTAGTGCTTTTCCAATCATGTGAACTCCCTTGAACTCAATCTCCACAATGCAGAGAGAGAGCCCGGGCTCCTGTAGCTTCTCAAGCCATCTCCGGCACCCGTGTGTAAGTTCCCAAACATGCACACATGTCCTGCTGCAAAGTGGCTGAACAGCCTCAAATTTCAGACCAAAGAACACTTCTAGGGAGGGAACATCTGATGAGTCCTTCAGATTCTACTTATTCTATTCATTATCTACTGTGCTTTTTAAAAGAGGCTAGAATGGACATAAAACTACATGGAGGGGGCTATTCTTTGCCTAAAGACATTCCTACTTATAAAGCCAATTCCTTCTCTCCCAAACCACTTTCCTTTCCATGGGGGAACATTTGTAGAAAACTCAAGTAAGTTTGAGTCCTGGGGTGAGAACAGCAACTCATTCACTACTTGTGCTTGGATTCCTCCTTAGAAGTATAGACACGTCAAAGAGGGAATGGTGTTAACACTGACAGGTTTTATCAGTTCCCTCACTGTCTCAGTCTGGTTCCCCCTTTCAGAGGACGAGGAGAAAAATGCACTTTCCCGAATCTTTCCTATGTGATTATAGAGGAGCAGCTCATGTAGTTCTGGGCTAAATTTAAATCAAGCTGCCACTCAGGAAGCTCCCACTGCCTGTCAGTTTCATGAATTCTAAACACTATTCCTACCTGTAACACCCTCAAGACATCTCTCAGCAGAGAGCAGGATTGGCCCTTCTTATGAGAGCAGTTAGGATGATATTAAGCCTACATGTCACCTGAGTGATTCACCTACTACCTGCCAACTAGGTTCTGGGACTAGCTGAGAGGGTTCCCCACTCTGTGCTCTTTGCTGCTGACCAATAACCAATGCTGGCATGCATCAAGCAACCTTTTTCTATTCCACGTGGTCACAGGCAATGAGAAGTAGCAGTTGCATACAGTACAGATAAAAATTTTTCCAGTTGGTGAAAAAAAAAATCCCAGTGCTTTGTGGGTAGTAGATCGTGTAGCTAAAGAAGCTATTTGTCAATAGAATTGCAGCCCTTGTTGGAGGGAAATTGCCTGATGAATTTTTCGGACCTGGCAGAAAATGCAGAGCACATATTTCTAAAGACAGAATTTGACCTGAAAATCATTATGCTGTTGCTTGAACATTAGAAAATAATTCCTTTTAATACCACCCAACACAAATTGTCTTTGTTTCAATGTTTATAATCCTTGCTTCATGAGAATAAGATTAACTGAATTAGAAGACGACCCTAAAAAAAGGATAATTCTGCAACTGGAAATTATTTCAGAATGTTCAAACATTTAAAAATGAGCTAGTAATATTGTGAGGTTAATTTGTGCAATTCCAAAAATCAAGTGTTTTTAATGAAAATATATTGCAAAAGTCTATATGCTGGCAACGTTTGTATCTAAGCTATAAAAAATCTTAACAACAATAACAACTAAAAACCTCACCAAGCCCCTTAGCCACATAAAGCTGAAAAAAACCCAGCTTTTAGTGGGGGGAAAAATATGGTAATTTTTCTGAAACAATGCTTGTTGGTAATGTATTGCTTTGTTTACTGTATACTTTGCTAGATGCCGAAAAGGCTCATAATTTTAGGGGGTCAACAGGACTGTAATTTCCTCTCACCCTCAGCACAGGATGAGTGGGTTCAACATCCCTGCAGGTGCCAATGCAGAACCACCGGGTCCTGACACAGTGTAGAAAACGAAGTCTGTATAGAAGAACCCACCGGAGAGTCGCGTAGCCTTGGCTTCAAGTGAGGAAACGAGCACCATGTCGGGCTTTCCTCGGGGAGCGCGCCCTTGCTGCTGACTGTGTTCCAAGGAGAGCTGACCCATTAACCCAAGAGTTAATTCCCTGCTATGACTCCCTGGCCTCGTCACCAAATAACCGTTTTCAAACAAGAGAAGGGGAGCATAATCTTTAATTGTGGTCGTCAACCTAGCAGGACAACAAACAGCAGAAAGATTACCTCAGTGCTGTACATGTAACCAAGACCTCTAAAATGCTGGGGTGTTTTTTACAATCCCTTTAGTAAGTATGAAAATTGGTAACGTGAGTCCTCAGTGAAGTTATTGTAGGAAAGTCCTTTTATTCGTTATTGCTTTTCTCCTCAAGAGGCGCATTATTTCCATCTCTGCTTTGTCTGATTTTTCATGTTCACTGACTTTGCCTGGGCAGCCCCACCTCTCCTTACCTTGGTGCCAGTGTGTCTAAGAAAGTTTTTCCCTCCCCCCTGGTTCCTTGTAATCAAATCCTAGGGGCAGGAAGAGATGATGCCTGGGTGACAGAACACTGCAATTTGAAGTGGGGCAGTAGTTTTTTAGACAGGCTCTTCCTATTCAACCACAGAACAGCCCTGTGCCAGTCCATGCCAGGGCAGACACCGGGACCAGACTCCGACTGAAATGTCGCCGCCCCTCTGCGCGAACAGATGAACAAAACAGAATCAAAACAAAAAAAAAAACAACAACAAAAAACCAAAAACAATCAACAACAAACACATGAAAGACTCAATGTTGGTTTTCTTCAGGGCATGGCATAATGACAAGTCGCGGGCGCTATCTAGCTGCCGCCATCGCTATTGCAAAGGGCTGCCTGAGTGCCCCTTTCTTTTCAGGGGATGGAACCTCTCCAACAGCTTCTTCTTTTCTACGTCCGTGCTGCTGGCTGGTAACAGATTGGACGGGGGTTCTATCTCACTCAGATGGTAACTGAAATTCCTGTAAAAAGAGGTTAGGGGGCGGGATGATGGGAGAATCATCCCCAATGTGAAAGGTCTCCGCTCTAAGCCATCCATTTGTGGTAGATGACCTTTACAGTATCAGTAACAAAATGTCTGACAGCTCAGAAAGTGGACAAGCTACACACATCGTTCAGTGGCAGAGCACACAGCACGGAAAACAATGCCCGTCTCTCCCGCATCCGTGTCACCGATCTCCCAGGCCAGCGTGAAGACGGGTCTCGTGGAGTCGCGATGGGGGTTACCTGCAGACCGAAAGGAGAAGTGTTCCTTCTTGTTCCTGCTCTGGTTTCAGACATCGTGGGATGGTGATGCCCTTTTGTGTTAACACTGTGGAGGGGAGTCAGCCCTGCTGAACCGGGTGCCGCTAAGAGAGCCAGCTCTTACGCTCAGCTGGACGGGTGGCATCCCTCACACCAGCATATGCCTCCGGCGGTGCAGTGCCAAGTGGTCTGACCGGGAAAAGCTGCGATCGCAGTCCGCGCACTTGAATGGCTTCACTCCCGTGTGTTTGCGGTAATGCCTGGTCAGTTCATCCGAGCGAGCAAACTTCCAGGTGCAGCCTTCCCAGGTGCACTTGTAGGGCTTCTCCCCTGGAAGACACAAAGGGACACGCGCTTTGGTGCTCCATCACTTTTCTGTAATAACCAAGCCAGCGCTACCTCCTGGGAAATGGCTGTTTTCAGTGGGTTTTCCATTTGGTAATAATCCTTCCTCAGGAAACCTAATCATCCCATCAGCAGGTGTGGGGTCAGATGGAGGGGGGGGGGTTACAATCTCCTCTCTCCTACTGTGACATCTGGCAAGTGTGTTAACACTTGCATCTTCCATTACAGGCAAATTACTCTGCAGTCAAAATATCAAAAGGCACAGACTGATGGCTACTGGGTGGAGCAGCAGCGGACCACTGGTAGACTCCAATGGGCTAGCAGAGCTCTACCTTGCTTGATGTGGCTCTACGGCTGAAATGCACAACAAATCACCAAGGGTAGTTAATTACGTTTTGTTTCAATACTCCAAAATGTGCAACTCACTTAGATGGGTTAAGGCTATTTTGGAATACAATGTCCACTTATCAGTAACTGAAAATAAATATAATTTCATTAAAATGGAAAGCACCCCTCCAAATGAGGTATTAATAAGTACATATAATTCATAAACATATACTTTTGGCATGTCTATTGGGAACGAATCCGAGATATCTTAATAGTGTAAAGTTTAAATACTTTTTTCAGTGACTTGGGAATTAGAGCAAGCCCTGAGGAATCCTAGAATCGGTTCAGTGTAGAAACTTAGAGTAAAAAGCAGTCTGAAGAAGTATGTAATCTGACCAGGTCCCTCAGTCAACTTGGAAGGACAGTAAAATATGCAAAGGCTTTGCTGGGAAAAGATACACTATCTATTGTCCAAATGAGCTCCCAGGGGGAGCGGGACAATAGCTGACCCAGGTGTGCTTTTTCCTGGCTCTCATTCAGAACGGGAGCCCTGTCCCCATGCAACCCCACAACACTGATCTCGCCTCTGGCCCTGCCACCCAGTAGCCAACAGCATGCTGCTTGGCCACACGTGGCCTCTGGTGGACAGGGCCCGAGAAGGGAAGAAAGCTACCTGTTGATCCGTATGTAGAGAGCTGCAAAGGAAGCATTGTTAACCCCACTTTACAGATGAGAAAGCTGAGGCTCAGTGTAGTAAAGCAGCTTCCCCATGGCCAGAAAAAAGATGTGTGTGGCTCCAAGTCCAGCACTTTTCACTGTGCAACAGTGGAATGGGTAACTCTCTCCTCATCTAAACTTCGTTACCTCTTCAGACAGTGCTACTTTCGTAGCTACTCCCAAATTACTCACTTCCTATTCCTATTAAATCACCTATCGCAGTAGAACATACAGATTTTGTTTAGATGCCTTTCTCCTTTACCAGCTTCTCCTGAATACACGGAGATCAAGAACCAGGTCTCCTCTAGTTCAGTATCTTCACAGCCTAAAATAGGTACCAAGCAAGTGCTTAAATGAATTAGTAACACTGCAACACATACACAGAGGCACACATACACAAAACTACAAGTAATGCCTACATGGGAAAACTAGATGGAACTGGACCCAACATTTTTCATTCAATTGTTAACGAAATACTATCTATTAGCAAATGGCCCTTTCAGAAGTAAGTGAATAGTTCAGACCAGTTAAATCTACAACTATTGATGCACTTAAGTGTGGCCCAAAGAAACCTCCAGGTTACTCTGAAAGGGTTCTTTTCAAGAGGAAGCTTACTGACTGGATTAACCCCACATCTCACCTTCAGACTCATTCTGGATGTCCTATGGAGACAAAAATCTCCTTTGCAGATGTCTATTGACCAGAATTTAACAGAATTAAAAAAATAAAATAAAATCAGCAAAACCCCTAACTTAAAAAGATTGGAGGGTGTGTGTGTGTATTATATTGCATATCAATGGCAACTGTTGACAAGCTTTTATTTACATGTCATCCCTGTATGTTTTTGAAATTTACATCACGAACATGGATTCTAGTAAATTCAGCTTGATATAAATCATGTCTTTATTTTTGGGGCACTGAGCTCAGATAGCTGACTCTTTGTCACCAACAGGTATCTCGTAGCTATCATCTCGTATGTTACTATGGAACCAGCCACTGAGAGTATAAGGCCTTAGAAGGGAAGGCTAAAGGATTTTCTTAATTGGGAAGAAGCATTTCTCAGTTGTGTGGTAGGAGGATGTGTGTGTCCAGCTCGGTGAGGAAGTGTCATATGAGCATGGGTGGGATCAGACATGCTGCTGGGCCCTCACCTGGCCATCCCAGGTCAGGTGAGGGGAAGAGGCTCCACAGCTGGATGGGCCTAGAAGGTCAGTAAGGGCAAAGAGAAGGAGACACATACGATCTGACACTTCATAGAAACTCTGCTCACCTTTGATGTAAGGGAGGCACCTCTGCTTTTTGTAGGCTTTTGGATTCTGTGAACTTATTGAATTGGAGTATATGATGCAGATGGTTAGTTTGGGATGGGTGGGTGAGGGAATATTTTGGCTATAGGATAATCACTCATTCTTGACTCAGGACCTCAGTTACAATTCTAACAATTCTCTCAGTAATAAGCACACAATATTTAACATCAAATACTCCGAAATGAGAGTCCTCGGCAACAGAAAACGAGTGATTCTCTGAAAAGGCTCACCGGATTCAATCAGGGTTTAAAAACTATTTTCAGGATCTTTTTTGCCCATTAAAAAATGAAGGTCTTCGTTATGCAGGTGAGGGTAGGTCAGGAATGTCTCTCTATACTTTACCTGGTAACCGAAAGAGCAATGATTCTACACAGAGATGAAGCTCCCTCACCCCCATACTTTTCAGGACAAGTGTGCTACAATGGAGGGAAGAATCAGAAAGCTGGAGCTTAGATGTTCAGCAATGTTTCTAAGATGGATATTTCCAAGGGGAGGAGCAGGAAAAGCAACAAGTCAGGGCACTGGACCAGGGAAACAGTAAAAATCTAAAAAGTGCTTTGTGAGGTGGAATCAAGTGCAATATGTGATCGTGAAAGGCAAAGGTGGCAAAATGGGTGAAGGTGATCAAAAGGTACATCTTCCACTTATAAAATAAGTCATGGGGATGTAATGTACAGCATGGTGAATAATGTATAGCATAGTTAATAATAATACTGTATTGTATAGCTGAAAGTTGCTAAGAGATTATAAAAGTTCTCATCACAACAAAAATTGTATCTATGTGTGGTGATGGATATTAACTACCCTTATTGAGTGATATTTTGTAACATAAAAATATCAAACAATTATGTTGTACACCCAAAACTGGTATGTTATATGCTAATTATGCCTTAGTAACAAAAGAGATAAGGGAACAGACCTAAAAAATACAAGAGGCATATATTTCCCTAGTCATGAATAAAACCAATAAAAATAACATATCGTATATAATAAAAGCCTAATATGCTAAGTGTCTGACCATTCATTCGACCGGTCGCTATGACGCACACTGACCACTGGGGGCAGACACTCCTATTGGTAAGTTAGCTTGCTACTGGGGTCTGGCCGAGATGGGCCAGACACACCCTGGAGCCCTTCCATGGTCTCTCCCCAACCCCAATTGTGAACCAGTGGGGTCCCTCGGCCTGGCCTGCACCCTCTCGCAATCCGGGACCCCTCAGGGGATGTCATAGAGCCAATTTCAGCTCAATCCCCACAGGCCAGGCTGAGGAACTCCACCTGTGCACGAATCTGTGCATTGGGCCTCTAGTAAGCTTATAAGTTACTAGGGGCTAAGTGATTAATGAAGGCATAAACAAAGAATATAAACCTCCACTGAGGAGGGGAGGAAGGATAAAGTATGTCAAAAACCAGTAAATTTAATTATCTGAGTGATAAATGAGTTTTCCTTGAAAATTTTCTTACAAAAATGTATAGATTCTTTTAAACATCAAAAAAATCTTATGCTAAATACTAGAGGCCCGATGCATAAAAATTCGTGCAAGAGTAGGCCTTCCTTCCCCTGGCTGCTGGCACCGGCTTCCCTCTGGCACCCGAAACCTGGGCTTCCCTCCGGCTGCTGGCAGGCACCCAGGAACCGGGCTTCACTCCGGCCCCGGCTTTGTCTGGAAGGACGTTCGGAAGGATGTCTGGTCTAATTAGCATATTACCCCTTTATTATTATAGATTCCTTGTCCTTACTACCTCCTGAATAAAATTGGGAAATGGGTATTCTATCTCCATGTTTAAAAACTAAAAAGAAAGCAGGACAAAGCAAGATCTTCTAATCTCGTTTCAAAGTCAGAGGCCAAGCTATGGAGGTGGGGGAAGAGGAGACGGCTACTCCGAGTAGGCAGGGAGCTAGCTGGCTCCTGGCCCTCGCTAAAGAGAGACCTAGGTTTTGATTGTACCCACCCAGTGCCTAGCATTTCATTATAAAACAAACAAACAAGAAATGCTCCTTTTGAACTAGTCAAGTTTTAGAAACAGATATAAGAACAACTTCAGTGGCTACTACATTGTATTAAACAGCACTTTACACTTTGTGCTTGTGCTTTGAACAATTTAAAGGGTGTAATCTTATAAACAAATTAAGATAACAGAAACTAACTTCCTGATGTGAATAAAACTAATTAAAATGGTAAGTTTGTAAGATACATTATAGTGTGCATAAATGATCTTTGAAGGATATAATGAAGAACAGACAGAATTCTACTTTCTTTCCTTTAAATCGTGCTAGAAAATAGAAAGCTAAATTTAATGTTAAAACGTCAGTGGTAGCCCTGTCTGGTGCTGGGTGGAGAGCAGTTGTCTTGTACACCAAAAGGTCGAGAGTTCGAGTCCCAGTCAGGGCACATACCCAGGTTGTAGTTCAGTCCTGGTGGGGGCGAGTGCAGAAGGCACTGGATTGATGATTGATGTTTCTCTCTCTTTTTCTCTCTGTACCTCTTCCTTTCTATGTCTCTAAGATAAACTAAAAAAAAAAGCATGTTTTCGGGTGAGGATTTAAAAAAAAAAAGCTGGTGATAGAGAAAGAATGGCAGGTAAGTTTCCCACAAAAGTCTTCTTATGGGAAGTGTTGGCTTGGACAACAAA